TGATGATAACTGATGGATGTATACTCCTTAAGAGGGAGCTATTAGTTTAGCGGGTTTTTTGAGTTGGGGGCAGATTTATGCAATGTTACCAAGAAATTGGAAAAAGTGGTATGGATCTTAGTGTGTGTTAAGATGGGGTATTGAGCATGCTTTAAATACCAAAATGATTTCAATTTCTTGGATTTGAGTGTAGTGTAAAAGAATTCAATTTCTTGGATAGGTGATATATCGTCCAATTATTTATCCCTGAGATATTGCTTCCATGCTGAGGATGGTGTGAGTGGAAAAATTAGAGGATTACTATGCATTGGATTGAAATATGAGAACTACTATTGGCTTGGCTTTATTTTGCTGTTGATGCTACAACTGCTCTGTGTTAACTTCTAACCATGTTTGTTCTTCCCATGATTTTAAGAAAATGGATCCTGGCATCTCTGTGCAACTTTTGGACTATGATAGACGTTTTGAGCAATATGGGAGTGATTTCACATTTTATGATTATAACCAACCAGTAGAGTTGCCATTGGAGATAAAGCAGGCCTGCAAAGTTGTAGTTGCAGATCCTCCTTACCTGGTGAGACATGAATTTTATCCATCTCTTGGCCCTTTGAGTATACTTCTTTTATTTTAATCAACACCTCAGACATTCCTCACGTTCTGCTCAACTACTATAAGGGTATTTGAAGACATAAGCTCTTTTGGGGATCTTCTGTCAACTTCATTCGTACTATTTTGTTTAGTTGTCATTCTCATGTTACCTATAAATAAAACCTTCCCGGTTGCAACTAATCTTTTCAGGATTTTCCGGTATAGAAGTTCCTTCCATGCACCCACAACATGAATTTATGATCATGTTTTGCACTACAACTTACCGGCTAAAGTATCTTGAGAAATGCTTATTGCTGTTAATTGTTTTGGTGTTGTTAAATACAATGACGAATCTGCTTTTGTGCCTGGATTGCATGACTTGTGGTTGAATCATATGTGTGACTTTTGTTGTTTTCAATTGTGATGAACAAATGAGGATTAAATATAGCTGCTATTTATGGTGACAGAGTAAGGAGTGTTTGGAAAAAGTTGTTCAAACGGTCTCCTTTCTTGCACAACCAGGACAGCCCTACTTACTGTTGCTGACAGGTATATTGTAATGGCTCTTCCCTCCTACTCATTATGATTGGTGATATGAACATTAGAAAAATTTTCAATCTGTCATTTGTACTGCATTTTATCTCCTGCTACTTGATCAAGTAAATGACTATTTAACATAACACAGAAATATAACATGGATATCTATGATTGTTTGAGTTGGCTTTTAGATAAATCTAATAGAATGTTACCATGATGGTCTGTAGGAGAGGTGCAGAAAGATAGTGCTGCTGAGCTCCTGGGTTTGCGTCCTTGCAATTTTAGGCCACAACACTCTAGCAAACTAGGGAATGAGTTT